GTGTGATGACAGTTGTCTGGCAGGGTCTCTCCACTAACTGACAGTGCTTTACATTGTTTACGTCTTACAGGAAAAACCTTAACACTGGCGAGAACCATGGACATTCCCCGGTCTGTGCAGAACTTCCGGTTCTTTGCATCTTCTGTCCTGCACTACACATCAGAGTGCACACAGATGGACCACCTTGGCTGCATGCACTACACTGTGCGGACCCCAGTGGGGATCGGTAGGCGCTGGGTGGAGGCCGTCTGTGTCGCGCTCATGCACAGGGGTGCTCATGTTTCATAGCATTGATCTCAAGGAACAGACAAAGGAAAAGGAAGAAGTGATTTTTTTTTTTTACTTTTACATAAAACTCATTGGCCTCAACAATCTATATCTAGTTTATTTCCTTCATGTCAAATTCTCTACTTATTCCTGGAATATTGTCTTGGAAAATCAAAGGGAAAAGAGTCACGCTAAGAGTAAATCATACAGCAGGGATGGGCAGGAACGGTGCTTATGTCATGGCAGGTCAATCAGGATTTTATTTCATATAAATTAAATAAATTAATAAATGTAGGCATTCAGAATAGTGCCAAGTGTGTGGTATATAAGCCTAGATGAGAATTACCTACTTCCCTCATTCATTCCTTTACCTTTCTTTTTTTTGCCTTTTGGAACATATAAATGTCTGTGATGACTGAAATTATCCACTAGATGTCACTGTTTCCTCTGAGAAAAAGCACCAGCCATCTTTTTTTTCTTTCACTAGTTACAGTTGATGAATGTAAGTTAAAAGGTAAGAAAACAGGACATTTTACTGCTTTGGGTCTTTGAACCCTTCAGGAATAATATTTGCCAGTCTTTATGGAAATCTTAAGCCACCTCTTAAGAAGTAGGCTAACGTACTTTGTTGCAAAAAATATTGTTATCCCCTAAGGAAAAGAGTTTTCAAGGAGAAATTTAATAATATAAACTATACATTTACTTTCATAGCCCAGGCTTGAGGGCAGAGTACAAAATAAGGAGAATTCATTTCCTTATTCATAAGGTAGATTTTATGTTTGTATGTTTTGTGGTTGGAAAGCTACATAGTTCCAGAATGTTACACAGTGTAGCTATTAGTTACATTACTTATCCAGCAAAACTAGCTGCTCAGGATGGATATAAGAATCTGAGCATCTATGCCTCGAAGTTCAAGGGCTTTCCTGATATGAGGGCCTCTGCAAGGAACACTCAGGACATTTTTGCCCTATTTTACCTATAATTCTATGAACTTGGAGATTTTGTTTCAACAGATTTGACACAGAGGTGGAGAAACTTATTAGAAGAAATAACAGCTGGACAGGGTGATCATGAGGCGGGAGACGTTAAAAAAAAAGTAAAGCTCAGTCTAAGAGTCTTAATCACCTCACTTTCTAGAGCTGGTGACGGCTACCAGCTCGTCCCTCTGGAGCTCATGTTGCTGTTGTTCATAGCTATAATCATGACCCATCAAGAAATGGGTAAATTATATTGATTTTACTCTGTTTTTAAAAAGTATGGCTGCTCGTAATGCATTTTAGAATTATTTCCCTGAAGGTAGCTACAGATAAATACAGTTTGGGAAAGAGTTAGAAGAGAGAACTAAGTTTCATGCAGCTGAAGGCGTGATGCATTAATAGCCCCGCTCGGCTGGTCTGCTTCTGAGGGGCACACAGCCCTGGCGATGCTTCCACTCTCGTCCCTTAGCTGGTCTGATCAGTCCTTGGAATTTGCCACTCTACTTGCTGACCTGGAAGATTGCTCCGGCCATTGCTGCAGGGAATACTGTAATCGCCAAGCCCAGCGAGCTGACTTCAGTGACTGCGTGGATGTTGTGTAAACTCCTGGATAAAGCCGGTAATTAGGCACTGGGGTTGGGGGAGGCACAGAGTTGGAGCAAAGTTACAGTAGAGAGAAATCTTTCACTCAGCCACAACATTGATTCCAGTGACATCTATGGATTTTGTCGCCCTGCTCCTTTTCTGAGCAAGCCCCTGTCACCCACAGGGCCCCCTCACACTGCTTCCTCTCTCCAAGGCTAGAGCTATGCCGAACAGGACTACCCCCAGGCACAGACTGGCAGTGCAGTTAGAACACAACAGTGACACAGGCTTGAAGGGTCCCATCGAATCAAAGACACCAGCCTGCTCCAGATAGAATCTTCAGTAGTCAATTTAAATCTTTTGGTTGAAGTACATGTTAATGTTGATGACAATAAGAATATTGCTAGGTACACCTATAGTTTGCATAGGTGTAACACACCTAGTAGAAATAGCCCATTTTTTATTGAGATTTGAGTCCTTTGGGGGCCACTACTGGCAGCTAACACAATATGGCCTCTTATCAGCACACAGAGGTTCACACATTTGCCCCATGTCCTCTTTTTGCCAGTGGTTTCATGGCTGCATTCAGGGTGCCTTCCTGGTTCTGTCCTGGGGTGGTACCTGCACAGGCATGGTCTGGCGCTACACCAGTGTTGGAAGGTAACAGGCAGGACGAGGAAGGCCCAGCTGGTAACCTACAAGAAGGCCCCTTGTGTTATGTCCCCTGGCTCAGATCCCCCATGGCATGGGAAGGAATGATGGCAGGGTGGTGGGGACAGACCTCCCACCCTTTCTAGCCATGTGTACACTGCCTTTTAGCCCACAGAGAAGGTACTTCTTCCTCTCTCCTGTGCCCAGAATAGCTGGTAGTAAGAGTCCATCTTTCTCTCTTCTGGATACCTTTCTCTCAAAGCAAATACACATTCGCTTCCTGTGAAGTTTAGCCAGTTCTTCACGCCACGATTGAGATGGCAGGTTACAATGGAGGCTGGTTAGGATACGCATCAGGCCTTCCAAACCTTGCATCCTACAGAGAAATGAGCCTCCTTGCTTAGGTATCTGGTGGCCATTATTTCTCAGTACCCCTCCTTGGGGTGATGTCTGTGGAGACCCTGGGCCTCTGGAGGTCCATGACAGAGATGTGCCTACCCCTCTCCTGTCCCTTACAAAAGAGACCACGTTCTAATCCTGCTCTGTGAAATCAAGGCTCTGGTGTCGGTGAAGGCTCAAGACATGTCTTCCCTGTCTGGTGACTGCAGGTTCCTCTGCATGGGCCAGGATTTGGTCTTTTGTTCTACTTTAATCCCATGTGGAGGTGGAGGGGGCTCTGCGGAGCTGTGTCTCTGAAGCCGCTCTCTTCCGAAACCAAACACATCTTGATGTGGGCCGAGTTATCTTTCCTAACCGGTCTACACAGAACCTGGTCTGCATGACAGTTTCCACTCCTGTCACTTCGCTCAGCGTTGATCTTATTTCTCATGACCTAGCAGGCCTGTGACAGCCGGAAAACCCTTCTCTTTCCTCCCTGGGCTGGCTTTGCCAAACTTCCTCCCCTGACAGACACCAAGAGGGTAATCCTCACGTTGCACCTCTATTAAGCCCTCAGTTCCTCATGGGTGTGGGAAGAAGAGTGAACCATATCTATGTAATCTTGCTTTAGAGCAACGTAAGAGGAAATTTTAATAGTGTGAAGGGAATAAAAGACAAATTGCTAATACTCTGGATGTTTAAAGAGCTCCTCTAGTCCTGGGTGTTCAAACAGATTTGACCTTCCTTCAAAATTAAATCATTTTTAAAAGTACACAGGGAATATCTCTTTGGGAGCCCTAAAACATGCATTTTCTTCTTGGGGGCAGCGACTGTTTGCCTGTGTCCACCGACTGTGTGATCCTCTCCTTCTTGTTAGTTTCCTTTCATGCTCTGTTTAAGTTTGAAATTCGATTTAAGCCATAGCATCGGAGGGAATTCCTTCTTGTCCATCCTCATCTGCTGCTACTTGGCCTTTTAGCCGACTATCCTGAGTTTTCCCAAATTGCTATTTGCCAATTAAACTGCTTTCCTTCTCTTACAATCAGAACCTCTTAAGGGCCAGGGAGCAGTATCTCTAAAAGAACGTCATCGGGGTCTGGATAAAATGGTGACGTGGTACTGAGAAATGACGGCCAGCAGACATGAACCTCAGAGCCCAAGGAAATGTAATGCTATTGCAGGGGAGGCCATCAGCCTGTTTCCCTGCAGTAACGATGTGGTCTTTCACCTCCTGCCAAAATGTAGCCATAGGCATTAGAAGTGATTGGATTTGGGGTTTTTTTTGGGGGGGGGTGGATTTATAAAGGCTGATAGTCCACCTCCTCCTGCCCACCCACCTATCCACCCCCTCGCACACCTGCTGTTTGCTGGAGCAGCAGAGCCATCTAGGAAACAGTGGGAAACTGGTCCTTGTTTTCCTCCCATCAACTGCTGGGAGGGCCTCTCCTCCCACTTACTTCTTTGCCCCAACCCAAGGCCCAGGTGCTCTCACATGGTGCCAGGCAACCCTCTGGCAGTCGCCTACAATCCAGGGCTGACGACCTAAAACAGATGTCAACAGATGTGCGTGCAGGGTACAAAGGTGCAGCCATTCGTAGTGGGACTGTGCCAGACAGTGTCACAACTTATGAAATTTTCTCACCTGTCTCCTGGAGGGTTCACCTGGATGGGGCTGTCGTTGTCCCCCACGGTAGTTGGGCAGGGCTGTGTCTCTGTATTATTACTTATACTTTAAAAGTGGATTTCTAAAGAGACAGTTTGAATCAAGAGAGTATGTTTCTGATGAGGAGACAATGTCTAACCTGGGGCAAGGGACGAATACTGGAAGGAAGCGGCTGAAAAAGCTTAAATGCTGGAAATGTCTGCACCTGCCACTGCAGTCCCCAGTCCCAGGCCACAGACAGGCCGGTCGGTGTCCCTTAGGAACCAGGTTGGACAGCAGGACTGAGCAGCTGGTGAGCAAGCAAAGCGTCATCTGTGTTCACAGCCGCTCCCCAGTGCTCCCCTCACCGCCTGAGCTCGGCCTCCTGTGAGATGAGCAGGGGATTCGATTCTCACAGGGGCCGGAACCCTACTGTGGACTGCACGGGCAAGGATCCAGGTTTTGTTCCTTATGAGAGTTACTGCCCAATGAGCTGAGGTCAATGGAATATGCTTGAACTATCCCAAATCATCCCCTCACCCCCAGTCTGTGGAAAAATGGTCTTCCATGAAACCAGTCCCTGGTGCCAGAAAGATGAGTGACCGCTGACCTACCAGAGTTCAAGCCTGAAGAAACTGAGGGAATAAATTCAGCTCCCTCCAGGCAAAGCCTAAGAAGTTTCCAGACACAACACAATGATACATATAATTTTCTTTGGGGATTCTCAAAGCTTCTCAAATTCATGAACCACTTCTAATTTGGATAATGTACACCAAACACTATTTGTTTGCAATTGTTTATTAATCTCCTATGACCAGCTCTGCTGCTTCCTGGTTGCGATTCAATCTCATTGTGCCCCAAGTTTCTCAGGGTGAAATAAGGGCAGTCCCACTAACTTCACAGTGTTCCTGTGAGCAATAGCTGGGCCTCAGTAAGGCCTAATGGATGTACCTTAGCTGGCATTAGTCTTATGCCAAACTGGAATGTGGCACAGAGTATACAGCACAGAGCAAGAATCAGACACCATTTCCACCCTTGGCTAGGGTACCCGCCAGCAGAGGGAGGTAAGAGACAAGTAAATCCAGAAAACCTGAATAACTGCGTGCAGACACAGGGTGGTAGGGGCTTTCGATAGAAAAGATTAGGCACCACTTATAGCTGTCCTCAGCACTTGCAGGTGGCCCTGGAGTTCTAGGGTGGTGTCGATAATCTGAAGCACGTGACTGCCACTTCAAACCCACCCTCCCTGGGGAGGCTTTCCCTGCTCCCCTGGGTTGAGTAGTCAACTCCTTCTCTGCACCTTGGCAGCAGTTACACACCCCACCAACCGATGTTTCACACTGCCCTGTGACTGCTGGATACCAGCTTGGAGCTGGGCACTGCTCCCACCTGGGCCTGACCTGCCTGAGGCTCTCTCTGCATCTCAGCCCCTAAGGCCTGGTTGATACTAGGGAATGAATTACCCAGAATTACCCATAGTACAGGGGGTAGGTAGGATTTCTCTAGACACTTTGCCCCAGAATGTGTTCTACTCTGCATGTCTCTGGGGCAAAGTGTCTAGAGAAATCCTACCTACCTCCTGTACTATGGGCAGAGGTGACTCTGTAGTCTTCACTTTGCTGTTAAACCAGAGGGAGCCAGAAAAGTTCCAAGTGTGGTCAACTCACGTGCTTCCCCACCCCCACTCAACCCATCTAAGTTATTGGACTTTCAAGGAGAATCTTCTCAATACGCAGAAAATTACTGTAACTGTTTCCTATCCAGGTGTTCCACCAGGTGTGGTCAATATTGTGTTTGGAACGGGGCCCAGGGTCGGGGAGGCCCTGGTGTCCCACCCAGAGGTGCCGCTCATCTCCTTCACCGGGAGCCAGCCCACAGCTGAGCGGATCACCCAGCTTAGTGCTCCCCACTGCAAGAAGCTCTCCCTGGAGCTGGGAGGCAAGAATCCTGCCATCATCTTTGAGGACGCCAACCTGGACGAGTGCATTCCAGCCACTGTCAGGTCCAGCTTTGCTAACCAGGTGTGTCCTCTGGGGCTTTTCCACTCCCATTCTATCCCCGTCCCCTGTGGCTCTGTCAAGACTTTTCTGTTTCATCACAGTGCAAAGCCTAGGAGTGAGCAGGTCAACCCGCTGTCATGTCAGTGGAAGGAGGGTCAGTCAGAACATTGTCTTTCTGCTGCTGTTCAATCCCATCATCAATGAATGGCCTTATGGAGTCCCAGCTTCTGTTCCCAGCAAGTTCTTCTTCTCCTTCTTCTTCTTTTTCTGAGACACAGTCTCCCTCTATTGCCCAGGCTAGAGTGATGTCAACCTAGCACAGCAACCTCCAACTCTTGAGTTCGAGTGATCCTCCTGCCTCAGCCTCCCAGCGTGTTAGGATTATAGGCATGTGCCACCATGCCTGGCCACCTCAAGTCTCTTTATCATGTCCTCCTTCCCACTATGACTCAGGGCACTTGTGTTAATGAAACTTTCAGATGTCTGGACATTTCCCAAGGCAGATATGCAGATGATTCTAATAGTGATCCTGGTTGAATTTATTATTTCAAAACATTAAGTTTTGGACTTGGACAATGAACCTTCGTACAAATACCAAGATAATTAGACCCATTCTGTTTCCTAGGATGTTGTGAAGCCCAGATGTAAACAGGATGAAATATTTATGCGTTTATACTTGTCACACATACATCACGCTATGAAGTGTCTACAGTGTGGCTGGTAAACTCTTACAGGAGGAATTCAAATGATAGTTAGGATTATTTTTCACTCGGGAACTTGCTAGGCCCTCTCCCCTGAACACTCAGCCCCTCTGCTGGGATGTCAATTAGCATCTGAAACCCAGCAGGTCCAAAGCAGAACTCGTAATTTTCCTTCCTTTCCTTCCCTGCAGCAGCCGCCATCGTGGTTGTCTCTTCAGGGAATAGCACCACCATCTGCTCCATGGCTCAGGCCAGGAACCTGCTCACCCTTGCCTTTGCCTTCTCTTTTCCTCATAACCTGCGTCTAATCCCTCTCAGGCCCTGTTGGTTCTGCCTTTAAGGGGCACCCTGACTCCTGCCACTTCTCCACAGAACCTATGTCAGTTTCCTTATACTTTGGGGGTTCCCGTGTCCCTATTAGAATCTGTTGGACTCAGTGGATCCCTATCACTCCTCTCCCTCTCCCTTGGTGCCATCTGGGTCCAAGCTACCTACTGTCACAGCTCTGGACTTCTGGAATGTTCTGTCAACTCTCCACTCTATTCCCACTTCTCTTTCCTTCCATTCTATTTTCCACACAGCAGTTAGGATGATGACTTAAAAATGTAAATCTAGTCATATTGCTCCACTGCTTAAAACATTCCATAATCATTGTTTTGGAGACAGGGTCTTGTTCTGTTGCCCAGGCTGGAGTGTGCAGTGGCATCATCATAGCTCACCATAACCTCAGACTCCTGGGCTCATGAGATCCTCCTGCCTCAGATTCCTAAAGTGCTAGGATTATAGGTGTGAGCCACTGCACTCGGCTATCATCTCTTCATGATACAAGGAATTCGATGTAAGCTCCTTATGAGCCTGTGAGACTGCATGATACCGCCTTGCTCTCTGCACCTCCTGTGCCTGTCCCCACCCTGTCCCCAACCACACATACGTCCTTGCCTTTCCACACATGCTAGCTCTCTCCTGCTCCTGCTGCAGGGCCCTGTGCTCGCTGCAGAGAATTCCCCACTCCAGATCTTTGCTTGTCCGGCTCCCTCACTTAAATCAAGAGCCACTTCACATATCCTGTTTGCAGGTGCCTCCACGACTCCTGCCTCTCTATTTCTAGTCCCATCCTCTGGATATTTTTCTTTTCTTGCTTTGACTACAGCCCCAAGTTCTATTATTTTATGAATTTATTCTTTGTGTTTTTTCCTGTCTTTCCTATAAGATTGTGCATTCCACACGGTGGGCACCTGGTCTTGTTCTCCACTGTAATCCACTGCCTAGACCAGTGCCGGACACACGGCAGGTGCTCCGAAGTACAGGGTGACCTATCTAGGGGGAGAGGTCTAGCTTTGTCGTTGTTTGCATTTTTGGCAGGGTGAAATCTGCCTCTGTACCAGCAGGATCTTTGTCCAAAAGAGCATCTATAGTGAATTTTTAAAGAGATTTGTGGAAGCTACCAGAAAGTGGAAAGTCAGCGTTCCTTCTGATCCATCAGCCAGCATGGGTGCTCTGATAAGTAAAGCACATTTGGAGAAAGTAAGTAAATCTCTGCCATGTAAATTACAGAATGAGTTCTGATTTGAAGAGAAGTTTTGTGTCACCATAATACACACCAGACATTGAAATACTGTTAAATACTTCCACATCTTTGACAAATTATGACCTGTGAAAAATTGTTTGTGGACAGAGTCTAAAAGTTTTGGATATGAAAATGGGCATGTAGTCCGGGTTAAAGCAGCATCCACATTAAATGAATGAACTGAGAAGTCAGGGTGCAGCTGCCATGGTGGAGTGGGGAAGACAAATGTCAAAACATAAAGGCCACGTGAAAGATGTGAATCAAGAGTGGCAGGGAATTCCACAGGCAAGCATTCCCTGTGCAACAGGCCTGCCTCTAGGTTACAACAGGTGGGATTCTGGAAATGCCTCACAAACAATCTAAATTGTGTGGTCCTTAATCAGCAGAGAACCAGGCGGTCAATCTGGGAGAAACCGTTGATGGTCTCTGAGTGATTTTTGGAATTCAGATCTTTAGGGTCATTTTAATTTACCGCATGTGATTCCTCTAAGAAGTCACAGATTTCTGGAGTTAAAGGACCTTGTTTCCTGCTGCAGTCACTGAGGCCCACTGTGGGAAACTTGCCCCTGTCCATCATCCAGTGAAGGACAGAGCCTTCACTTAGGTTTGTTGAAATCCCTGACCCTGCACAGTGTACTGGACATCACTCCACAGAACTTTGATTTTTATAATGCTGCAGCATGGC